AGCCTTCGGAAGAGGAAACCGTACAACAAGGATTTGTTTTTGCAGGCGAATTTCAAGTTCATGGTGCTAGATTCCGGAAATTATTCACCTGAGTCGATGGATCCAGATAAAATGTTGCAGTGGGAAGATATTATATGTATGACATATTTGACCCCCTTTTCGGTTCAGTGTCCAATTTGTTTGGAGTATCCCCTGTGTCCGCAGATAACCTCATGTGGACATATTTTCTGTTTCCCATGTATTCTACAGTACTTATTGATGGGTGAGGAGGATCACAAAGGTGATATCTGGAAAAGGTGTCCTTTGTGCTTTGTGATGATATCTGCCAAAGATTTATATACGGTTCACATCACAAATGTCAAACAGTATCAAGTAGGAGATAATGTTGAGTTCACCTTTTTAACCCGGAAAAAAGATTCATTTACTCTTTCGCATAAAAATAAATCAGGGACAAATATCCCATCACAGGGCAGTGGAGATATCTGTGATCCCTTTTCTAAGTTCACTCTTACATCAGATGTGGATCTTTCAGTGAGGCATGCAATATCTGATCTAGATGGTTGGTTGGCCAGAGCTGATTCAGGTCTTGTTGATGACCTGGAGAAGCTTCCTTATGTTTGTGCTGCAATGCAACAGTTAGAACAGAGGAAGAGGTATTGGAATGAGCAGACGTCTCGTGACTGTGAAAAATCTTCTAAGCTTATTGATTATGGACAGCAGATACCATCAGCAGGTGCAAATTCTATGGATACTGATGATGAAAACGTTTCCAATGGATCAAAAACTTCCTCTACTGATTTCCATGACCAAAATAAGGTTACGATGTTGGATAAATCAACTACTGGAGCCTGTTCAGATCAAAACTTAGATGTTGAGAAAGAGTTAATAGAGCAGGAAATGAATTTATCTTCTTCGTATGAGGAGAAAAATAGTATTCAAAGGCATTCAGATGTTGTTGGAGATGTGAAGGAAAATGATTCATACAGTTTCTACCAGGTAACATATGACAGTTGGTTTTAGTTTTTTGTTCTGTATCTACTGTTTCTTGATTCATAATTTTCTGATTGGTTACAAATGTGTTTACGAAGTATGAACTGATTATTCATGTTAGAAATTATTCAGAGCAATTTGACATCATGTAGTTAGATATTTTCAGACAAGTTTGTCTTTTGAAAGTGGTCTGCTTGACTGAGGATGGATTAGGATTATAAGGGTTTGCAAAGATGATGAAGGTCACTAAGTGTGTGTTTGGATGTGATTTGTGATCCATGTTCACCCTTGAATTCACATCAATTGCTACAATTGATGCAGAAGCTACATGAACTTGCTTCTAAAAATTCACTTTAGGTTCAAAATGAATTGACTTGCTCTAACTGTGTTACTGTTTACTGAGGCTACATTTGGAAGCCTTAATGCCTGTTTGGTTAGATGACAGAATCAATTCCTCCCACTGTGGCATGTGTTCCAATAAGCATATATTGTTCAAATTTAGGGTGCTTTTGAGTGAACAACTTAATCAAGTGCTTATTGAATAAATGCTTTTCATGTAAGCACTTTTGTACAATTTGTTTCAATAATTAAAGACAAAATAGGGTTAAATTGTTTTCATTTAAGTTCTAAGTTGTTTTTATTAGTTATGCTAGAGAACTTATTGAAATAAGCATAAAACAATTTATGGACAATCATAAGTTTGGCCAAATACTTGCACAAGTGCTTATATCATCAGATTAACTTACTGAATCTGTAAATAAGCTCTTATAAATGCACCCATATTTCGGCACATATCCCAATTATGTTGAACAGTCCAAAATCATTTCTATCAAAATTAAGTATACCCAACTTTAAGACAAATAGACACATTAGAGAGAATCAGAGGGGATGGAAAGGCACAGAGTAAAATGGAAAGGGGAACAATTGAAATGGTGACAAGTTGTGCATTAAAGGTTATGTAGGAGATATCAATATGCCTATATGAGTGCTTTTAAATTAGCTCTATGGGAGGCAGGGTGAGATTGAAGTGAACCCCATGTTATTCACCAGGTTGGTGGGGAACAGTGAGAATTCTCACCTTTCCTGCTATAAAAAGCATTTAAGGAAACTAACCTGAGTATCTATTAAAGAAAGCTGGTTGTACCATATTATTAACAACAGTAAATGCTGAGTTATAGGTTGAACCCGGGGGAGACACTATTTGTTTTGATGGTTCTAAAATCTGAAACAATTCAAGAGATGGATGGAGCTTTGGTGTTGAGGTACATTAAAATGTGTTACCTGTATGTTGTTTTTGACTAGGAACAAGAAGTATGAGATCCTAGAAAGTCTCTAATTAACTATATACTAGAATCAGTTTATAGTGTTACACTGGGAATTGATCTTCTCTTGTTTGGTTTTGACATGATTAGGTCATTTGGAGATTTTGTGTGTATCTCTCTCTTCATAGACATTAACAAATATCACGTAGCCCCACGAAGGCCATGGAAAATCTCAAATTAGATGGTCCATTTACTCTTGCACTATTCCTCTAACATAGAGCTGGAGCCTAAAATAAGAAATCTGAAGTGTATGGGAAATTTTCAGATTAACATGAGGAATGGAATATAACTGAAGCACCAGTAACTTAATACGTTTCCATCTGTGATGAGTATTGGTGAACAAGAATAACGTTGCTCTGCAAACAATTGGTCAATGTGAAATCTTATTATGCTGCTCTGAAATTGTTTTTCAAGATGAAGAAAGAATCGCTCATCGCTTTTCTTGAAAATGAAAGTTAAAAGAAAATGAAGGCTCTGAAGATCATTAACGCTTGCTAACCTATGCTACTATTTCAGCATTCAATGATGGTCTCTCAGCTCCTCCCTTCTCTTTTTACTGATTTTTCTTGTACCTTGTGATTGTTTTGTAACAATATCAATATGGGGAGAGAGATTTTCCTAATTGTCAAAATAATGTTGTTGCTGTGTCCAATTTTAATCATAAAAGCTTGAAGGCATCGTTATCCATAAAAGTGTTAATCAGTGATATTTTTCATAGTAATCTATAGATGTATTATTTTTCCAAGGTTGTCGGTTTTAGTTGAGCTGGTTGTATGAGTGGATGCTGCTGATATAAGCCTGGTTTTGTTTCCCTTACTGGCAACATACTGAATTTGAACTTTAATTATCCATTGATGTCAAATCATGTCTATCTAGCTATCCTAAACTCCTTTATCTCTTGGATCCTCTCAGTTATGTGAAATTGCTGCTTTTAGTTTTATTGAGCAATCCCTGAATGCTTTATGCTTAAAGTCAGCTTTAATGGTGACATCTGGTTGTTACCATGCTCATGTGTCTATTTCAGGCTGCTGATGGTCAGCATCTAATTCTTCATCCTCTGAACATGAAGTGTTTGCTTCATCATTATGGGAGCTATGATATGCTTCCTCACAGGTTTGGACTTATATTTCTCCTATATGCTTAGAAAGTGAAGGAAAAAATGTGTTTGTGGGCATAAGGTCAAATGATATTGGCATTGTGTTGATCTTTTATTATTTTGAGCTAAAAAATGAACTGTCAAGTCTCAATTTTGGTTTATAAACATATATGCACCATTCAACAAGAACTTCTAATTTCACTAATATTATTTACATACAAAATTAAGTCTACTGTTGCATAAGATGAATGGCACACAAAGTCACAAATACAAATATATAAGGTTTCACCAGTATGCTATTCATGTCAATTCTTATAACATATACAATTGATTTCAAAATAGAATTGAATATTAGCTACAGGCTAAAATGATGGCATTAAATTCAAATGATGTTTAGTTTTTTGTAATTCCTGCTTAACAGAAACACATTCAATTATAAGATCAGTAAGAAACACCTATGAGGACTTACAACAACAATAATCACAAAGCCTTTAATCCATTAGGGCCATTGGCTTAATGGGCCAATCACTATTGGGCTCTATCAAAGACCAAATTTTTAATAGATGATACTTTAATTTTCATCCATTTCATTAAATATGTTGATGTCTACACTAGTAGTAGTGGTAGCAATTGTCTTTTCAAGTGTAGGTCCGAGGATATTAGTTGATGTTGCTTAGGATATCTGTGCTTGTTTATGGTTGATGTCTTCATCTTGAATGGACATCTTTCTATGTGGAGGAGCATTGATGAACACTAAATGTTTTCTGACCAAAATCTACTGATTGCAGAATAAGTGGAAGGATTCTGCAATTGGAGACAGTTACTCAGTCTGAGGCCATGAGGAGGCGGTACCGATTCCTTAGTCATTTTCCATTAACCACAACATTTCAGGTGCCTGTTAAAAGAGTTTTATACTTTCAAGATATTTTTTGATGATTCATAATAGAGGATTGCTAATTTTTTCAGCTTTGTGAAGTTGATTTAAGTGATATGTTGCCTCCAGAAGCACTGGCCCCATTTATGGATGAAATCAAGAAGCGTGCAACTCAGAGGAAGCAGCTTGCAAAAAAGGTATTCATGTAGCCCATCATATTTTATCTATGGTGGAGTGGAGTTTTATAAGATTTTGAACCTTGACTCGCATCTTACACATTTATGATGTGTATAAATGGTATGATGGTTATGGAATGAATTTTCTCCCAAAAAGCTGATTTTATATTTTTGTCTGGTGTGCAAGTAGGGGACTTTGTATGTTAGGGAAATCTTCTCAGGATTGGGCCAGACTAGGCTTTTGCGTTATGCAAACTTATCTTTTAGGCTTCTGAATCTAGAGCCTGTTTTTTTTAAGATTACAGTTGAACCTAGGTTCTGTAATTTCTTTTATGGTACTAAAACAGGGCCTCAGCCTTCTAATTGCAAGTGGCCTGCAGTTGGTATTTTGATTCTTTTATGGTATCGTATGTCTTAAATCCATATATTTTTGTTGTTATCCAAATGTTCTGGAATGTGATTTTTGCTGAAATTATGTTATATTCTTGATTTTTAGGAACAGAAGGATAAGATAAAAGCTGAAGCTACTGCTGCTTATTCTCTTCCCATATCATTAAGTTCTCAGTTTACTTCTCGCGATGATCCTCCAACATTCTCCATGGCTGACTTTGAAGGTAATCTGCATTTTGGATGTTGAAGGAGGAATTTGGTTATTTTGATAAAAGTTCTGCTGTTATTTATTAACAATCCCTCGAGAGGATAATTGTTAATTTGTTACAAAGGTAGTTCCACAATGGAAATAATAATAAACCTTGAAACAAAAATAAAGAACAAGGAAAAAAGTATAGGAGAGGCTCCCCAAGAGCAGCTGATGGCACAGTACCAAAAAGGATAATAACTCTTGGATAAATTAAACTTAGATATATTTCCTTAGGTGCTTTTGGTACTATTTTTCTATTAGAAATGAAGTTTCACCTTGGTGGTCTATGTTGATCTTCTAGGCAAACATTTATTATGTGGATTATTGAGGTGAAACTTTTACTTCAATCAAAGAATACCACCAAAAGCACCTAAAACTTTTTGTCAATTCTGGACCCTTCTCTCCATCTTCATGCTGCTAATAATCACACCAAAACCACCTCTACTGATGCTGCCTCCTTCCGACTCTTCCCAACAGTCCCGGTAATCCCTTGGAATTCTCCACTCCCCACAACAGTTTCTCCTTGTCGTTTGCCCAATTTACCCTTCTCATTTAGAATATACTACCAACCATTGTCGTGGGCTTCCTTTGGGCCTAATGTTGGACCTCTATCAGAGTTTTTGGTCACATGACTGGGAATCATTCTATTGTAGAAATATGGTGTGTGAGAAAATGAATGAATTATGTATGTTATATTTGTTCCGAGTGTTACATACTTGCACGTCTTAATTTCAATTATTGTACTTGGGCCTTATGGCTATTGAGGCTGCCTCCTCTTCCGTTTTATTTATCATTTTATTCATTTGTTGCAGTTAATGTTGTGCTATGATATATATAATTTTTGTATTTGTGTTTTGTTCAGCTCTAGGAAACTCAACTATATCCTCAAGTCCTCCCTTATCTGGGGAGAGAAATTCGTTCTCAAATGTTACCAGGCTCGGGTTTGCTGCTGGTCATGATTCTCCATCCTTACAAATTCCAGAAACTAGTGGTCTACATAATAACAATACGACCACCGATTCTTCTGTCATAACAGGTACTATATGTTGATGCAATTTGATATATTCTGCGAGCCAAAATTTGGTTGTGATATATAACCGAATAATCAAGGTGTTCAAGTGCCCAAATGTTCTGTTCTTAACTGCTGTGATTCTGTAGGTTTGAGAAGCGGGGAGACACAATCATACTCGAATGTTATATCAAGAGCAGAATCAAATGCTTCAGCAAAGACAAATGAGTTGGGGAAGAAAGGAAGGAAATCAAATCGAGTTCTTCTATCAACAGCTGGTGGTAGGCGATATTGATTTCAGTGTAGACTGTAGAGTTATTAACTTTCTATGGATTTCATGTACTTTATTTATGCGCCTCTAATTACTTGTAGATAGGTAACATGTATGGAAAGAATAAACAAATGTTTTTACCTGCAACAAGCCATTACAGAAGTTTAGTTTATTGTTTGTGGCTCTGTAGAACTCTGCTGTCTTTCGATATGTTATTTGAATCCAGACTCGATGAATATTCGTAAAAAATTACGTATGTTATAAGATATACGAATGGGCATTAAAATTGGAATATATATATGGATAGATAGAGAGAAGATTCGTTTGTTTCAAGAATAAATCTATCTAGACTTATTTTATTCAATAATTTGTATTTTACATCAAATTTTAATGACTCAACTATTAAATTTAAAATTTTTAATGTATAGATCAAGTTTATTAGTTTTTAAAAAAATTAAAAATTATTTAATATATTAACTCAAATTAATGTATAAAATGATTTTATGATTAATAATCAATTTAAATTAATCAAATGAAGTATTAAATGATTTTTTTTTAATTTATAGATTTAATCTATACATCAAGAATTTTAAATTTAATGATTAAATTATTAAAATTTGATGTGGAATGAGTTATAGATTTAATCTAGACTTATTCTTATGTGTGTATATATATATATATAATTTCAAATGCATTTTATATAATAAATATCATAAAAGGTAAATGTTTTTTTATTAGTTTATTGTGTTTAAGTCTATATATATTATGTTTTATTTTATTTGGTAGCAAACTAGCAGTAGATAAATGTAAATTTGGTTCCAGTTTAAAATATATATTATTACATTTATTTTATATTAAAGAAACTTGGTACTAGATTGCTGATAGAAATGCTTTGATATTTGTATTTTTTAGTCAAGGATTCGTGGGAATTATACCTCCTAAATATTATAATAAAGTAAAAGGAAAACTTGTTAGTTTAGTGGCCAAGTGTTGTCCTAGAAGTTAACGGGACAAATATCATTTTGATAGGTTAAAGGATTCTCATCCATTAGAAGAGTGAGGGGTTTTGATGCTGTATGGCATATGCGTATTCCAAAATGATACTTTTAATAGTGATGACTTGTTCATGAGATACGAGCTCGATCAACATAAGCTTTTGGCTATTTAATGATAATTTTATAAAATATTTACTCGAATGGATTATTGGAATTATTTTTATAGGTGTTGTTATGATCTAAGTCATTTTTTTTAAAAAAAATTTAGTCATGTAAAGTTATGCAGTGTGTCACCTTAAAATTGTTAGAATCAATAGTAACAAAATGATGCCGTTATCATAATGTCATTTTCGATCGCAACGATTTGTGATTGGCTTAAAAATATAATTTATTTTGAATTGTTATAGGCTATAATATTTTATTTATTTATTATATCACTATAGATTATAATGATTTTTTTATAATAATAAAATTTTGGGGGTCGTTGGTGGCTATAATGACCTCCCGCCCCTCATTTTTTTTTTATTTTTAAAAATTGATAAATAAAGATAATTTATTTTAAAAAATTGAAAAAAAAATAAGCAAGATTTTTTTAGCAAATATATCAAAAACTTCAAAATATATTACTTTTTTTATTATTTTTTTAAATTTTATGTAATTTTTATTATCTTTTTCTTAATTTTTAAAAAAACATTTTGGGGGTTGTTGGTGGCCATAGCTACCTTCCCCTATTTTTTTATTTTTTTTATTTTTATGATATTCTTATTTATTTATTTTTCTGATTAGTTCTTTTAGAAAAAAATTGATAAATAAAGATATTTTATTTTAAAAAATTGAAAAAAATATGCAAGATTTTTTTAACAAATATATCCAAAAAATTTAAAATATATTACTTTCATTTTTAATTTTTTGTAATTTTATTAATTTTTTAATTTTTAAATTTTTTAGAAAAAATTTGGAGGTCGTTGGTGATGATAGCGAAACCCCTCCTCCTTTTCTTTTAATTTACTTATTTATTTATTTTTATTTAAAAAAAACTAATGAATAAAGATAATTTAATTTTAAAAAGTTAAAAATATGCAAGACTTATTTAACAACATTAAAAAAAAAATAAACCATTCATATTTTCTTATTCTTCTTTTTTTTAAAAAAAAAAAAAAAAGATACTTTGAATTGAAGAATTTTTTATTTATCATTATAACCTATAACAACATAAAAAAATAATCAGCTCTATACGATGGTGTTATTTTATAAGTCAATATAAGTAATAATGACTTTAATAGTGTTGTTATTGATTATAATGACTCTTATACAACTTATTTAGCTTATGATTTAATAATTATAAGAAAAAACATAAAATTAATTTTTTTTACATTATTAGTATTGTTATGGTTCATAGTAACATCGACAAAAATAATTTAAAATATAAATAATTTTAAAACAATCCCATTTATATAATTTGTTTTAAAAAGTGATTCACAGCCCTGAAAAAACCACCAACAAATATTTGAGTTCAGGTAGTTTTACCCATCAATTGAGTTCTACCTCCTATTGAGAGTTATAAACTGAATTGTGATGGTGCTAAGTAATGGGATAACTTCATGTGGTGATATAGTATGCAATAGCATTTGGTCTTTTGTCTTTGCATATTCTGTCAATTTGAGACATTGTTCAGTTGTCCAATTAGAATTGTGGACAATTTATCATGGTTTAAAATTAACTAAAGAATTGCAACTTTTTGGAAAATGTTTGATTGAAAGTAATTTTGTTATATCACTAACATATCTCAATGAAGGGTGTTAGAAACGCTACTCTTTGTTATTCTTTGGTGAATAATGTAATTAACATGGTTGGAGATGAGCAAGAGGTGTCTATCAGGTATTTACACATAAGCAAACCAAATTGCTTATATTTTGGTTAAACAGGGTGTTTCTATGGTAGAGGATTTGCATGTATTTAGGAATTCTCCTTATGATTCAGATTCCAATCCTTTAATCCATAAAGTTGAAAACAAATTAACTCAAATATATAAAACTCATGTAGTGTCTAATTTGCTGCAGTATCACATTCACATGCAGAAACAATCTATAGTCCCCAACATTTCTTTTGTTGTCATTTTTATTTTTTTGCTAAAGTCCACGTTACCAAAGTATACATGTGCACTATTAAATAGTAGTGTTTGAAAAGAAAATTATAAAAAAAATAAAATAAAAATTAGATAGTCAAATAGGAGATATCACTGAACTTGATGAGAAAGAGAATAGTTGCTCAAAATATGTTCATTAAAAAATGACGATTAAAATTTATTTATTTAATTTAATAAAAAGTGATGATTCAATTATAATATAGGAATATAGGAATTAGGAACAATTTAGGTGAAAAATGATGTTTTGCTAGAACTCAGCATGATTTAAATTTAATCAATTTATGAGTGAAATGTTAATAACACATCTTCTACTATAATATTGTGATTGTAATTTATTACACAATTTGCAAATCTTACATTTACTTTAATGAACATCTCTTCTAATTTTATAGTTTTCATATTTTAATCAATTATCCAAGTAGTTAAATAAGTGTGTTGCAAACTTCTTAATACCAAATTTTGATTTTCATAGACAAAAAAAGTTTTTATTTTTTAATAAATTTAAACAACAAAATATAATGTATTTAAAGGAGCATTGATGTTACCAGTGTTTTAAAACCCGGACCGACCCGGCCGGTCGAACCGGTTGGACCGGGAACCGGTGGTCCAACCGGTCCGAATCTGAAGTTAGATCGGTTATGCAGTCAACCCGTTTCAAACCGGATTGAATCGGTCAATTTTCCGGTTCAACCGGTGAACCGGTGGGTCAAACCGGTTCAACCACTTTTTTTTTTTTATAAATTTTTTAAGGGACCATAAATCACAAAAATAATAATGAAAATTGAATCTCTTAATGAAAAAGCAAGGAGTCTTATTAAATATAACAATGACTACTTGTTCTAATATATTTGTTTGCAATATATACAACTTAAATAACTTTTATAGTATATTATTAATTTTAAATTATATATTTAATAATGCAATATCTATGTAAATATTACATATATTATTTTGTGATATTAATTGCAAGCATATTATATATGTACATATTATTTATATTTTTAATTTGTATTAATATACCGTTTAACATGTAATTTTTTTATGTATTTTTTTACAAAATAAAAATAAAAATAATTTTAAATAAGATAGAAAAATTGAAATTTAAAATAAGATATGAATTTATTAAAATTTATAAGTATAAAATATATTTAATATGAATACTTTTTAATAAAAATAAATAAAAATCGAGTCATGCGATTCAACTAGTGACCCACCGGTTCAACCTTTGACCCACTGACCCAGTACCTTAACTGGTTCGATGACCGGTCCGGTTTTTAAAACTATGAATGTTACTACCACGTTACCACTCCTCAAGTTAGAATGCACAACTTGGATAGTGAGGTTCTCGATTTTTTTATTCTCTCATGTAGACATTTTTAATATTTGTTTTTGCTTATAAAAAATATTTTATTTTCTCTATGCATTTCACATACTATCTTTGTAGCTAATCAATAAATTTATTTATTTTTAACTATCTTAAACTATTTTTTTAAAATTTATCTTTATCTTTATCTTTGATATTTTTACCACCTATTCCTTTCAATCAATCATTTTTGTTTATTTTTATATTTAGATTAAATTTTTAAAATAAATTATTGATAATTAAAAGTAACCTTATATTACAATTAAATCATCACTTGTAAATTCAACTCAATTCATACACATGACATATTATTAAATTTATTATTATTATTATTATTATTATTATTATTATTATATATTAATTAAAAATATAAAAGTGTGTGACCTCACCTCAACCTACCTCTTTGCCCCCCTTAGGACATAAATATGAGAAAAAAAATATAATTTATTTCTGTAAGTTGAAACAATGAATAATATTTAATTTATAAGTTTTATTTTATCATTTGTCATTGTGAGTTTTTTCTAGGTTTAAATATGTTTTCGATCTTTATAAAATTAGCAAATTTTGATTTTAGTCTCTATAAATTTTTTTCTATGTTTTTCATCCTTATAAAATTAAAACACTACTATTTTTAGTCTCTATTTTTATGTAATCATTTTTAACGACTTTTTATTTATTAAA